TAGTGTAGGTAATCAATATTTATATTTATATATGTATCGAATGATAAATAATCGATTTTTATATATATTAAGGAAAAATAATAAAGAGGAAGGCATGCTGGATTCTCCTGTCACTATTGCTAGCGATATATATATATATTTTTTTTTATCTGCAGCTATTGGGTGATTTTATGTATTCTTTTTTTGTTAAAGGAGAGACGAGGGATGATTCTAAAAGGGGGTTTGATTGAAGAGAGAGAGAGAGGGGGTGGGTGGGTTTGTAGTAAGAAAGGTGGCCAGAGGGGATATATATATGCGAGTAGAAAAAGAGTCTCCTTGAAGAAGAATATTTTCATTGGAGGAAATCGTATATATATAAAAAGTAGAGTAATATATGTGTAAGTATACATACATATCCATGTATATATATATATATATATATATTGACATGTATGTATATTAATAAATAGTGTATATAATATATATATATAAATATGGAACACACATATAAAAGAGCATGCGACACGCACGACATATGGACAAAATACAAAAAAACGTAGGTAATCCCAAATAGAGTAAGAGAAACAGTTTTTAATCGTGAATGAAACAACAAGATCGAGACAAAAAACGTGTAAAAAAGGAAACACAATAGTTAAAAATTAAAAATGTATTAATGTTGACTTACCTCGAGAAGCTGTTGATTTCTTATTTCACGTTCCCGTCTGACTGCCTCTTGCCGTTCCGTCTTCTCTTGTTCCTTGATGAGCCTGTTGCGATAGACGATGGTTAAATCAAGGTTCACTAATGGTTTTGTTTTACATATCGACGAGATTTCGTGCAGTTAAATTTAACGACATATGTAGGTAGGAGGAGTAGTAGTAGTAGTAGGTAAGTAGTCGAGTTTCGATAAATGCAACAGGTCACACCTGGCCTGCTCTTTGTGTCGTTGTGCCTCCTCCTTAGCAAGTTTCTTCGCATATGCCAGCTTGTCTCTCTCGTACTGATTGTTCGTAGTTCGTATGTCCCTGAACCCTCCGGCAACTCTTATCTCTTCTAGACGTCTCGCTACTTCTTGCGCGCCAAGCCTCACAAATTCAGCCTCAGCCAGACCCAACGTTGGCTGGAGAAACTCACCGACCAATGGACGGGACGAAAAAGAAAAATTCGCTGTCGTCAGCTCGGCAGGAATCTGTTGTTCCAAAAACTACGAACATTTTTAATAAGATACGTTCAATATAAACATATGTTAAGTTATTATTTTAATTCTTTGAAGCATGGCTTTTTGAAGTATTCTCATAATGGGATTATTTATGTTTTTTTTTTCTGTTCATTGTATTCGGAACGTGAATCTTTTTATGTTATAAAATTTCGTGCTTCAAAGAATTAACTTTTGATTTCGAATCTATCTTTTTTCTTAATATGAAAATCTAAGTAATTTTTAAAAATCATTTTGTACACTTTTAGAAACTGATATTATTTGTAAATACGTATAATAAATACCGAAATCTCGAAATATTTTCCCATATAAAACCATTTAATCAAAAGTAAATGTAAATTTCGTATTCATTGTAATTATTCAAGAACTTTTGAAATGTAATTTTCGTAGATGAATCCAACTCACCTTGACAAGATCGGGACTGCACCTAAATGTTTTACCACAAGGACTATAATAGGACACATCGCCCTTAATAACTCCAGTCTTTCCTAGTCCCTTAATAACAGTCTCTCGTTTCCAACCACGTTCCAAGGGCATCTGAAGATCCCTTTCGCTAGGTTTAAGCTTTCTTCTCTTAGCACTGGGCGTACCCTCAGCGTTATCTTCGTCTGTGTCGGTGAGGACGTCGGTGTTGCTTCCGCTTTCACTTGTTACATCCATATTGCTTTCCTCGCCCGACGCCTCCAGCAATTTATTCTTCATCTTCTCCTGTAAAGATCGCTATATAGGGAGAATGGTTTTAGTGCGAAATCATAAGTAAAAAGAAACTAAAAACGTGTCTTCTATTGGCCCAACCCTAGAAAATGATGTATTGCTCTTCGTGACTGAACGCGAACGTTCTTTTTTCGTGTGTTTTTTTTCTTGTTTATGTATGATAAGAAGATAAAAAAAACTTAAATCATATAGACTAATTAATGTAAAGAAAAAAAAATATAAAAAGTAAATGAACAAAATTGAAATAAAACAAATTGTAAAAAATGAGTAAACGCAATTGGAACGCATGAATTTATACCTGATTCTTGTCGTCAACCTGGCCCGTTGCCGAGGCATGCAATTGCGCAGCAATAATGTTCGACCTCAGCAACGAGACCTGGTGTGACAATGGTGCGCTAGGATCCAACGTTGGAGTGGGTTTTATACCCAATGCTCTGCTCTGTGCTAGCAACGACGCTACGGTGTTCTTCTTCGGTTTGGAAACACCACGACCAAGATTTCGTGGACGACCATCCTTATGATGAGTCGTACTGGCACTCTCACTTTCCTCGCTACCGCTGCTGGGCCTTTGGGGAGAATCCGCAGCAGCAAATAATTGTGCCAATGAAGGACTAGGAGAAGCTGGGACTGGTACCGAGTTTTGAGGCACTCTTCTCGGCTTTGGTCCGGGTTTTCGTCTCGCTAATTTAAATGATGAAATAATCATTGAATAATAGTAAATCTTTCCAAAATAATTATTTCATTTTACGAAGTAAAAATTACAAAACTTCATGTTCAAATTCAAGAATTATTTTTCCCCGAAAAACCAATAACAATCATTTAGAATATACTCACATGTCCGATCAGAGGCAAGCAAAGATTGGCTCAGATTGCTGAGCTGACTGAGCGGTTGACTACCGGAAATCGGCGAACTACTACTCGTCGAAGAAGGTTTAAGGGATAAATTTAATGGAGCATCTGAGTCATTGGCGGAGGTGGTTGAGTTATTGCCACTGGTGTAAGAAGACGGTGCTGACAATACAGAACCGTTGGTTGAGTGGGCCGGTAATTTGATCACCTCCACGCGATCTACAGTCTCTCGATACTCGTTAGATTCGGTCTATAATCAAATCGTACATTTTCATGCCTTACAATAAGAAAATTACTTTACGATTTTTGATCGAATTTCATTTGAAAAATATAATAAAAGATATAAGAAAGTGAAAAAGGAAACATACCCCTGTACGATTGTACTTTCTTGGCTCCATCATCAAGGACGACGTAGTTGTGTTCGTTTGATGAGCACTCAACGTAGATATAGTTGGTGGATGAACACTGACACTCGGTGTATCCAAAGAGATCGTCTTCTTCCTGCCACGATTCGTCGTACCAGGAACTTTTGGACCGACTATACTTGAGGTATACTTGATGATTTCCGTATCAGGAGGCAAACGCACACCTCCCAATATACTACTAGGATCGCTACAAAAAAATCAAACAACGTTTATATACTAGAAACAAATCAACAAACAAACGATAGCAATGTTCCTTTCTTTCTGCCTTTTTTTCTTTCTTTATTTCTTTCCTTCTTTCCTTACATTTCTTTTTTTTCCATATTATTATAAATTTATTCTAACACATGGATATTAAAATGAATCACTAAGAAATCGAGATCGTAATAATCCCCTCACCTTCCTTCCTTCGCAGAGCTGCTGTTTTATCGCAGCGAAGCGTGAAAGAAAATCAGGAAATGTTATTCTAAATCTTTGATTGATTGATTTATTTTGTTTTGTTTTTTATTGTCATTTACGATCTCTTTCATTTTATTAATTTTGTCTTTTTTTTGTAATTTAATTTTCTTTTATATTATTCGTCGTATGCCCAACGCAACACCCCTCTTTTCCTGTTTTATTATTTATAAGTATTAACCAAGTTGTTTGAAAAATCTAATTCCTGACATTAAAAAAAAAAAGCAACCCGTGTGCTCAGAAGAACAACTAAACCCTGGGACAATAAACGCTTGAATTCACAATGATGTGATTGCGCTGGGTCAACGATGCGATATAAAATTTAGCAGATAAAAATAATCGAATGATTTAAAATAGATGGACTTACCTAACAACGTTAGTTTGCGAATTTGGCGTGGTGCTTGCCGAGGTACTGTGATGAGTTGGTGTTACCGTGGCCTGACTCGACACCGGCAAACTACTGCTTGTCATATTCGTCGTTGTCGAGCTACTGCTACTGCTGCTTGCCGGTGTCTTGTGACTTTTACTCGACTTAGCTACGAATTAATACAAGCACAAATTATTTGATTAAACAATCATTCTAGATTTTATTTTAATATCAAATATTAAATAAAAATATTTCTGTGCGATGATATTTATATATCGACGATATATTTAATTTTGATTTACTTACACTTGGTAGACTTGTGGGACGAAAGGGATGGGGGATTCAACAGAGATGCAGGGTAAGGCGGTATAATACTCTCCGCACCAGGTGGAAAAGTTGGGATTCCTGTTGCACCCTGCAATCTCGCGAGGTAATCCTGGGCAGCTAAATGAGAGGCCATTGTCCACCATGCCGCACTAGCAGGTGTGATACCTAATTTAAACAAAAAATATATATACGATATTTTACAATTTTCATTTTATATTATTATACTTGTTCTCCACAATTTTGATTATATCTTTAAATTTATTCATTGACAAATGTTTATCAACAATATCAATTGATAGATTTTCAAGATAAGACAAACGTAGAGTAAGTACGCCTAAATAAAAAATTGTGGTTGATGGTAGAAATCTCGACAGTTTTGATGAGCTTGAAAATAGACATGAAAATAAAGAGTACAGATGGAAAAAAAGAAGAAGAGGAGGAAGAGAAGATTGAAGGGGTTGAAAATCCACTTACCCAGACTCGCAGCTTGACTGGCAGCCACGCTGAGAGTACCGAGACTACTGTGCGAGTACGGGGGTGGTGGTGGTGCGGATGCCGGTGTATGACCCCCAAAACCAGGCGCTGAACCCCCACGGCCAAGAATGGCGTAAGCCGACGGTAAATGATGTGCCCCCAATCCGTAGCCTCCAGGCATCCCGCCGAAAAGAGAGGAAGCTGCGCTATCTCCTCGCGGCCAGTACGCTGAAAAACACCCGTATCAAATGGCCCCCTTTTTTTTACAAACGGTATATAATATATACACATATAATGCATAAAAATCTCTTTCATACTAAATATTTTTTCTTTTTAAAACTACATTTTTAAAATGAATATTTCAAATACGAATACACGTCTCGTATTTTTCTTTTATTTTTTTTTCGATGGTTTTAGAAAAATTCTATCATTAAAATATTATTATTATATTTATATTAAATGAAACGAGAGATTGATCGTTTGATGATGATAAGTAATTTTAAGGGTGTCTGAAAGAGAATTGAAATTCGATACGGTCTTGGATTAATTTGAATTTTGGAAACTTAAACGTGTATAGTGTTGAATTTTTCTTCGGGTTCAAATTGATTTACATTTACAATATGAATTTCGGTATTTTAAGATCCCCCGTTAATATTCCATAAAATAACGTCAGCGTTGTTATTTGGAAGAATGAAACCTAAAAGGTTTTCTATACAGTAAATTATGACAAAGCCATCACTCAACAATTTAACACCTTTTTAGATATACCCATTAAATTGTCATTAAAAAAAAACCAATTTAGTAAAATTAGATAGAAAAATTTTATTTACGCCACTAAATCAATGATAATTGTTCATTCGTTGAGAGAGGTATGGGAGGGTTAAATAGGGTTGAATCGAATCGAAAGGGAGAAAGTTGGGGGGATGAGGGGTATATTTAATCTTGGTGTATTAAGGACGTGCCATGAACATTGTGTAGACGTAGAGTACATGCATAGTAGAGAGGAGTCAGCTTGTACGATTTATTGTCAGAGAAGAGGCAGAAATGTACCGTTGATTTTGCTACGAGTACCGTGGCCTTGAGCAAGGCCGTGACATTGAAATCCAAGCAGCGGCGCTTTAATTTATACCGGTCGTTGAACCCCACGGCCGGCTTATAACGACTACACTTTGCTCGTTGAGTTACCGCATAATGGTTTCTCTCTTTTTTTTCTCTCTCTCTCTCTTTCTCTCTCTTTCTGTTGGTCGGTACCACGCGTTGTAAAATCTAGACATAAATTGAATTTTCATTCACCGAGTTCGAAGTTTTATCGCTCGCTTTTCTTCCCAACGATGTCGACGTCGTTAAGAAGAATAAGAAGAAGAAGAAGAAAGAAAAAGAGAGAGAGAGAGAGAGAGGGGGGGGAGAAAATATTGACGACAAGAGAGGGGAAAAATTGTTGCAAAGCTTTTTGCTTGGAAAACTCGGCCAGAAGTCTTCCAACGAGAGCAAGTAAATCGATATATATATATATGGGGGTGTATATGTATGTGTACTTGCGTTTACGTATTTACATTTAGGCTTCTATTTATTGGGCCAATATTGTTACATATTTTTAGTCAATATTTTGTAACATAATGGGTTAATACATATGTGAATATATTTTGTTTGGTATAAATAATAATTAGTCAATATTTTATAGATAATGTTAATATGTATAATAGGGGCAGAACTGCGTGAGGGTTAAATATTGGTATAGGATGTATACTAATATTTGATTATTAATACTATATATATATACATATATTTGAAATATTGGTAGTATAGTAAAGTAATTAGAAATAGTGATCATACTAATATCCTATTATACGTATTTTATTACTTATTTAATATACTGTCATCCTTCTTTCCAATGAACATCATACTTTTCCGCAATTAATTGCAACTTTTGATAAATCAAACAAATGTTTTATTCTCCTCCTCCTCCAACGTAATACAAAACACAAATAAGTCTTGTCACAAAACTACCCTTATCGTGAAACCATTAAATGTTACTAAAAGAAATGATGCTAATTATTAATTATTATTATTATAATTTTATAAAATAAAAGTTAATATAAAGTGCGATATGTGGATAGGGAAAGCTTTCTCTAAATTATTAGATATGTTTTTGAACGTGTGTTAGGAGAAATAGGAAGACAGAATATACACGACGTTCTGTCCCGTAGTACGATGCGTCACTACGACTATCGATTTATGATTAAGCATTCGGAGAAGGGGAATAACGGTTGTGTGTTAGAGTCGAACGTCGTATTATCGACTGAAGCGCGACAGTGCCGCGCCTCACTAATTTCCTGTTTTCGGGCTGCCGTTATTAAAGGACCTTCCTGGCAGGGTAAAACACATTGTTTTCAAACGTTAATCGATTTGTTTCCCTAGAAATCCAACCAACAAAACAGCCAGACTTAACAAAATTGCATTGAAAATGGAGTAGGGGGAACAAATCCACCTCTTCCTCCTAACCTCTTACCAAAAATAAAAAAAATAAAATAATAATAATAATAATAATGATCGGGAAACATTTGATTTGACAACGTATACGTTTCCGACCAAATTTGACTAATGTTACCCCAAACTTTTGTACGCCGTCAAATTAGATCAATTCGATATTTCTATTTGTGCGAGTTTTTTAATTCAATTTAAAAATGGTGGTTTCTTTTTTTGATTTTTGTTTTTTTTTTTGCACGATACGTATGCACGTATATGCGTGCATATTTTATTTGAATACATGAAATGATAAAACGTAACATAGCTATGTCGTTTATGTTAGTTTATTTGACAAGAAACAATGTTGCATCCCCCTTACCCCTGTGCATTGTTGAGTCATCGATTTGATATCTTAAGTTGTTTTCTTTCCGATATTAAATGAAGGTATTAAATATGTCACCCTGTTGAATTGTCGAAAGGATAAGAAGAAGAAGAAAGAAAAAAAAGAATGTCCATTTAATTTTGGTCTACAATTTGGCACATTATTCTCAGAAAGATAAAAAGAGAGAGAGAGAGAGAGAGAGAGAGAGAGAGAGAGAGAGTGCTGAAAGTGTTCCATTTAAAAGTCGCCGAAACTTCGACAGGGAACAAAGAAAACGAAGGAAATATTCGTCTCCAATTCCATCGAAGATGGATGAAGGGGTAAGAAAAAGAACTAGAAGAAGAAGAAGAAGGAAAAAAGCGAGGCTGGAAAGGGAGAAGGAAGGATGAATAGGAGAAGGGGAGGATTTGAGGAGGGGAGTGTTGGGAGTAAGGAAAAGGGTGGTCTTTCCATTAAATCCCATCTCGGTAGGAAAATGACGATGATAAAAAGAAAAAGAAATGGAAAAGTTTCGTATAAGCAAAGGAGGAGAGATTAAGCTGGCAGCATCGTTGTAAAAGAGACAGAAAGAAAAAAGAAAATAAGATAGAAAGATAGAAGATGATGGAGAAGAAGGAGATGGAGAAAGAGAGAATAGAGAGAATAGAAAGAACATAGAATGGGAGAGAGAGAAAAGAGAAAAGAGTGAGAGAGGAAGAGAAGGAAGGAAGAAGAGGAGGAGGAGGAGGAGTCCGCGAGCTGAGAAAATGGCCGTGTTATTAAATCGATCGCAGGTCCGGCCCGGTCTGTCGAGGGGAAAGCCGGAGCTTGGAGTTGGGCCAGGGGGTTGAGAGAAGGGAGGAGGGTTGGATGGAAAATGTATGTATATAGGTATACAGAGATGACGAAAGTGTGACAGAGAGAAAGAGAACGAACTGAGAGAAAGAGAGAGACAGAAAACGAACTAACCCGTTAGAAAAAGAGAGAGAGAGAGAGAGACAGCGAGTGCATCCTCACGCAATAGAAAGAGAGAATGAGAGAGAACTAAAACTATAGTTAGAGAGAGATAGAATAGTGAGAGTATAGGAGAGAGAAGGAGGGGGAAATAGAAGATTGGAAGGGAACGGAAAGGGAACTGAGAATTACGAGAGTAGTGCTCTTGTTCGAACGTTCTGTGTCAAACTGAGAATCGAATCGCATGTATACGCAATTAATAACTCGAGCATGCAGCAGGTACGACATTTTTCAAAACACGTTCTTCCACGTTGTATATAGTTTCCACCCTATCCTCGAAAATTCTCAAAAATCTGTGTGACTCTTCCTCGTTCTTCTTTTTTATTTTTTTTCACTATTTCATTCGTTCATTCGTTCGTTATTGTGAATAGTATGTATTTACTGTTTCTCCCCTTTTCATATGTATGTTCCCTTTCTTTCACGCTATGTATATATATATATGTATGTATTTCTTTTTTTTTTTCTTTTTTATTCGTCGGTAAAGTATTTCGTTTTAATTGGTAAAGATAAGTATAATTTCATTCATTTTAGTTATTCAAATTTATTTTACAATGTAGTCGTGATATATTTTCACACAATATGTAATTTATTACTTGTTTTCTTATTAATCTTCATACTTTTCTCTGCTAATATATTATTATATCGAAAAGTTTAATCCGTTCTATCAATAATATTCTTGTTATTATTATTATTATTGTTATTATTAATCGTTAATCAGGATATCAAACTTTTATCATCACGTTAACACATTATTGAACGATCACGACCTACACTCTTGTTTTCACTTGCAAGCAACTTACGTAATTATTAAAGTTACAAAAATTGCATAAATTATTATATTCTAATATTTAATTTTACAAAAATTTCCTGCACTTTGAATACTTCAAAGAAACGTGACAAATATTAATATTCGTTATTGCGAACAAAAAACAACAAAATTATTAAAACCATTCGACGTAAAATACATTTTCTCTCTGATAATTTGTAACTAAAATAAAAATACCATAATAAAATGAGAATAATAAGAATTTAGAATATACAGTATAAGATAGGTAACTATATAATACTATTCTCAAGATGCTTATTTTTGGACTACCAGCAAAGTCGCTGTACACGCGCCTGGAGTCTTTCCTTGTGTTTTTTTCTCTCCTTTTTCTTGTTTTTCTTGTTCTTTTTGGTCGTAAGCCCGACGACAGAGAACGTGCCGAGAAGAAAATAGCTTAGACCAACGGCGAGATACGCAACACACAACTCTACGACTTATGTTAGCGAATAATATATATCTAGCGAAGAACCGATCCGAGAGAAGCAGCAGCAGCAAGTACGCATTGCTTGGTTGGAACACATTCGAAGAAACGCCATTAGAGTTGAACTATGTATCCTACAT